TTGAGTTTCATCGCCCTCCTGTGGTGAACTGTGTGAATTACATGAATAGTTTATTTCTAGACATTTCTACTATGTATAACGTTTTTTCCCCTGACATTTTATTAGTTATTCTGTCGTGTTGATTATAATAATCGTTGCTTTTTCATCCGCTTTGTATTTGCGTTTGTGAACATTCACTGTTTCGCGATTTAAAAAAAAAAAAGACTTTTATTTTGAATATAATTCCGCATATCCGGTGGTGCGTCCGCCCTCTATACTGTACTCATTTCAACGGTTATTAAATATGATTTTAGGCGGATTTTACAAAGCGTCAAACCTGCTGAAGTGCAGCGGGGCGTCTTGGAGGATCTTGAGGAGGAAGATGAGCGCAGATTCTTCATCTCTGACCCTCAGAGAGCAGCAGGACGGAATCAGGTGCTGGAACTCGCGTGACCTCTGACCCCAAACAAGCCCACGTTAAATTCAGCAGTCCATCGATGTTAATGCAGTTTAATACTGTGACCTTAACATTATTTGGACACTTAAATCATAATTAGTTCTGTCTTAAAGTTCTGTGCTAAAGCAAATGCCATTGTTTATAGAGAAAACAGTACACTTCACAAACAAAACAACTGACAAAAAGTTTATTAGGCTTGTCGAATTGTCATTGTGAATATGCATTTTTCTAGTTATGATGTGCACCATATATTATATTTCATCAGGTAAAGGTCTACACTTCAGCCTCAGTTTGTGAATCATTCTTTAGTCTGTCCTGTCAAAAAATTATTTCTAACTATTCACAAATTAGTGTGAACAGTTATTCTATTAATTAATATTATTATTATTGTTGTTGTTATGATTATAAAATGAAGACTAATATATTAGTGTTTTAAATTACTGCAAAATAACAAATCAATTGTTTTTAATTATTCACAAATCTGAATTATTATTCAACTATTATTAGTTATCCAATTATTATTTAAAAACATTATGAATACATTTCAATTTTACTCTAAAATTAAATATTAATATTTGATTCTAAATAATTATTATATAAAATATCTAAAATATTATCAAATAAGACAGAAGTATTGTTTTAACTAACAAAGAAAATAGTGAATTTACTGTTATAAATTAAATTATTTTAAGCTATTCACAAATCAGTGAATTATTATTCAGATATTATTAGTTATTCAATAATTATATTATACTAACAATGTAAAATGACGACTGTAATACATTAGTGTTGTAAATTGCAATAGTACTGTAAAATAACGATTAATTGAGTGGAAATGAAGCAGTAAATCTCATCTGGTGTGTGTGTGTGTGTGTGAGTATGTGTGTGAGTATGTGTGTGAGTATGTGTGTGTGTGTATGTGTGTGAGTATGTGTGTGTGTGAGTGTATGTGTGTGAGTATGTGTGTGTGTGTGTGTGTGTGTGTGTGTGTGAGTATGTGTGTGTGTGTGAGTATGTGTGTGTGTGTGAGTATGTGTGTGTGTGTGAGTATGTGTGTGTGTGTGAGTATGTGTGTGTGTGTGAGTATGTGTGTGTGTGTGAGTATGTGTGTGTGTGTGAGTATGTGTGTGTTTTGTGTGTGAGTTCAGGAGGATCATCCTGAATAACCCTGAGAAGAGGAACGCTCTGTCCCTGCCCATGCTGGAGTCTCTGAGAGAAAACCTGCTGACAGACTCGCACTCAGACGATCTGCGTGTCATCATCATATCAGGCAAACATTCACGCTCCTCTGGAGAAAGATGCGCGAGTCCCCGGCGTCCGCAGTAACTGTGTGTGTGTCTCTCTGCAGCGCGGGGCCCCGTGTTCTCCGCGGGTCACGACCTGAAGGAGCTGACGGCCGCTCGGGGCCGCGACTATCACAGCAGGGTGTTCCAGACCTGCTCAGAGGTCAGAGGTCAATCACTGCGTGTGTGCAAAGTCCCTTTCAAGGAAAGTCTGTTCGCCTCCGGGCAGCTCAAACAAGACCAAGTCCTTTCTAAATGAATGGGGGAATCCTGAAATCTCAAAAACTGCTCGCTGAACTCACGATTAAATGACATATGTGACCCTGGAGCACAAAACTAGTCTTAAGTGTCAATTTTTCAAAATTGAGATGTATACATCATCTGAAAGCAGAATAAATAAGCTTTCCATTGATGTATTTGTTAGGATCGGACAATATTTGGTCGAGATACAACTATTTGAAAATCTGGAATCTGAGGGTGCAAAAAAATCTAAATATTGAGAAAATCATCTTTAAAGTTGTCCAAATGAAGTTCTTAGCAATGCATATTACTAATCAAATATTACGTTTTGATATATTTACGGTAGGAAATTTACAAAATATCTTCATGGAACATGATCTTTATTTAATATCCTAATGATTTTTGGCATAAAAGAAAAATGTATAATTTTGACCCATACTATGTATTGTTGGCTATTGCTACAAATATACCCCAGCGACTTAAGACTGCTTTTGTGCTCCAGGGTAACATATTTCAAATCAGCAACAAAATCTGAAATGAACTGCCCCATGAATGTTGTTTCTTATGCTCAAATTGAGCTAAAAAAGCTTATTTTTCAGGCTGGACCAGCCAATGCGCAATCACAGTCATAACGCACTTAAGACTGTGCATCGCAGGGTTGCCAGGTTTTCACAACAAAACCCGCCCAATCGCTACTCAAAACTAGCCCAGTCACGTTTCGAGGGGGATCCCCCGGTAAAAATTAGCATTTTAGGGGCTAAATATCACGTTATTGGGGTCGCTTAAACCCGCGGACATGAAAAACATCCTGTGGCAACAGTGTTAAAGTAGCCCAATTCCGCAGGAAAACAGCAGACTTGGCAACACTGGTGCATCGGCTGGTCCAGCCTCAGGTTTCTATGGAAACCGGAGCTTCTAACGGCCGCTGCAGTGATGCAATGACTTTACCAATCAGCGATAGGCTCTTTCATTTAGAAGGCGGGACTATTTCGCCATATTGCGCGTTGCATTTTCTCCCATTCATGAGTATAGGAGTGAACCGTCTTTGTATTTCTATAGTCTATGGTGTGTGTGTGTGTGTGTGTGTGTGAATGCAGTGGAATAAACTGTGCTCTTTCTCAAAGGTCATGACCCTGATCCAGGACATCCCAGTGCCGGTCATCGCTATGGTGAATGGTGTTGCCACGGCGGCGGGTTGCCAGTTAGTGGCCAGCTGTGATATCGCTATAGCAACGGATAAATCCACTTTCGCCACACCTGGAGTCAACGTGGGCCTGTTCTGCTCCACACCTGGAGTGGCCATAGGACGAGCAGTGCCTAGAAAGGTCAAGGTCACAGCCAGATGAATTATATGAGAGAGAGAGAGAGAGAGAGAGAGAGAGAGTAATGTGACCCTGGAGCACAAAAGCAGTCTTAAGTCGCTGGGGTATATTTGTAGCAATAGCCAACAATACATTGTCATTTCACAAAATTGACCCTTATGACTGGTTTTCCAGGGTCACAAATGTAAATGTAAATGTAAATGTAGAAGAAAGAAGTATGGTTCTGTCCCCTTGAGTGCAGTCTGTGCCCTGTGTCCAGGTTGCAATGGAGATGCTGTTGACGGGGCGTCCCGTCTCGGCTCAGGACGCTCTGCTGCATGGGCTGGTCAGTAAGGTGGTGCTGGAGGAGCAGCTGGAGCAGGAGACGCTGGCTGTGGCCCGCCGGGTGTGTGAGAGCAGTCGGCCCGTGGTGGCTCTGGGGAAGGCTGTGTTTCACAGACAGATGACTCTGGGCCGGGACGCAGCCTACGCCTCTGCTGCCGCCGCCATGCTGGAGAACCTGACCCTGCGGGATGGTCAGGAGGGCATCCGGGCGTTCCTGGAGAAACGCAAACCTGTGTGGAGCAACACTGATGCTGTCGACACAAACACTCACTGATCCAGAGAAACACTGCAGCTTCACTCAGCTGTTTGTGCCTCAAACACATCACGTGTAATGCCTAAAAATACAATAATCTTTTTTATAATTATGTGAACTCTAATTCTAAAAAAAGACTGAAATATATTACCGTTGTAAATTACAATTGTACTGTAAAATAAAAATGAATATTTGATCATTACTGTCTTATCAAATAAGATTATCAGTCAATATAATTTTTGTTTAACTCTATATTATATAAAGAGAAAAGAAAATACCAAATAGTAAATTATCAAATAATATTATCAAACAATATAATAATAATAATGATTATTATTACTGTGTAAAAGAAGGCTGAAATATATTACTGTTGTAAATTACATCTGTACTGTAAAATAAAAATGAATATTTGATAATTACGGTTTTATCAAATAAGATTACTAATCAATATAATTTTTGTTTAACTATATTATATAAAGAGAAATAAAAGAAAATATCAAATAATAAATTATCAAATAATATCAAACAATATAATAATGATGATTATTATTACTGTGTAAAAGGCTGAAATATTACTGTTGTAAATTACAATTGCACTGTAAAATACAAATGTATATTTGATAATTACTGTCTTATCAAATAATATTATCAAACTATATAATTATTGTTTAACTATTTTAACTAATTATAAACTTAAAATAACTTAATAATATTTAAAATAATTATAACTAATTATAAAAAAAGAGAATGCCGGAATATATTTTACTGTAAATATATGAAATACATCAAATAATATCACACAATATAATAATAATACTAATAACAATAATTTTTAACTAATAAAAATATTTAAATATATTACTTTTTAAATTACAATTGTGCTGTAAAATAAAATAATAAAATACTAATTTTTTAAAGTCTATAATAATTTTAAACGAATTATTTTATCTAACTATAAAAAGACTGTTTTACAGTACAAATTACAAAATATCTAAAAAAATATCCAATAATATTACCAAACAGTATAATAAAATTATAATTATTATTTTAACTCCAATCTGAAATATGTTACTGTTGTAAATTAACATTTTAATATAAAATAAATAACATTTGATCATGATAATGTAATCAAATATGAAATATAATCTCAGATTTGACAAAGCAATCAAACTTTTTATTGAATGTTGTTTATGCCTTAAACACATCTTGCTCTATAATGCATCATTTGTAATGTTTTTGGGTGAATTATTCCTGTAATGAATCTTTGCAGTGTGTTTGTCAGTCCGAATGTCCCAGGAATGCTTTAATTAACGAAGAACAAAAACATCAGGCCATCAAAATAATTGGACCTCTCCCTGTTTGGAAAAACAAGCATTTAAGTGTTCAAATGAAACCTCTCCTGACGTCCGCCGGGCGACTTCCTCCCGGCCTCAGGCTCCGTCGGCCAATGGGAACGCCCAATCCTGGCAGGTGACCCGGGAGCGGGCCAATGGGGTCGAAGCGTGGGCGGGGCAGGATGACGGGCGCCTGGTCGTAATCTCCGCCGATGATGCCGGGAGGATAGAGAGGAAGAGGAAGAGGAAGCGGAGCGGACGGGATGGGGGTGAGCGGGAAAATCGGAGGCACGTGAGGCGGGAAAAAGCGGCATCTGCCCCTGCGCTCATTCTCCTTCCTCTGCTTAAGCTTCTTTTTGTAAAGCTGAGGACAAAAAAGGACAGTTAGGAGTTTAAAATTGTGTTAATTGTGTAAAATAAGTAATATAATATTCAATTTAGTTTGGCAAAAGGTAATACATAAATTGCAATTTTTTCATTCATTTAGTTATTATAAAAAATTATTATAATTTTATAATTGCGTTTTGTCTTTTTTTTTTTTAAATGTATAGGCTGAATGCACTGTAAGTTGCTTTGGATAAAAGCATCTGCTAAATGCATAAATTAAATTAAATGTTAATATAATTAATTAACATTCATTTATTAATGTAAAATTAATATATTTTAAATTATATTTTTTTATAAATGGTTACATTATAAAATCACTGATTCATATCTATTTATCTGCATGTTTATTTCATTTTAAATAAATTTTTAATAATTTCATATTGCATATAAAAAATAAATAAATTGCAGATTCTTATATTAAAATGATCCTAATTAATTCTCAGTTTTTTTATGTTTATTGAGTGCCAATAATGAGCCATTATAGGATTTGGTTTATAAGTATGAATAAGAGCTGTGTTTGGCTCACCTCCTTCCAGTCAGTGTCTCGGTGTTGATTTCCTGCAGGAAAACACACTGCAAAACAACACAACACTCGCATTACTGACACTTCATCAGTACACACGCTGTCTGGTGTGTGTGTGTGTGTGTGTGTGTACTTTATGCTACATTGAGGGGACCACATGTCCCCACAAGGATTGTAAAACCTGAAATTTTTGACATTGTGGGGACCGGCCTGTGGTCCCCACGAGGGAAAAAAATGATTAAAAATAGTAAATGATGTTTATTTGAAAGTGTAACAATGCAAACAGGTTTTCTGTAAGGGGTAGGTTTAGGGCAGGGCTGTCCAAACTCGGTCCTGGAGGGCCGGTGTCCTGCAGAGTTTAGCTCCAACTTGCCTCAACACGACGACGTCCAGCAGCCGTAAAACACGCAACAGCAGCTCAGGAGGAAGAACAGCCAGACCGAAGAGAGCCGGCAGACCCAGCGCTGCACACACACACACACACACTCATTAAACACTGTGTGTGGCATTAGCACTGAGAGAGGAATCGTAATAATCACCCTGTCTGGCAGCGGCCATGAGCGGATACACCAGCTGATCTTTAAAGAGACGAGACAGTCTGCGCAAGTCTGTGTAGACCACGCCTGTGCAGCCACCTGCAGAAACAGAACCTGCTGAGATGCTCCGATTAAAAACAACAGCACAATTACTATAGAAAATAACAAAAGAAAAAATAACAGTTTGTCCAAAAAATAAAAGTTTGTGATTAATCGCATCCAAAATAAACGTTCTTGTTTACATATTATATGTGTGTATATTTATTATGTATATATAAATACACACACATACAGTATATATATATATTGAAAATATTTAAGTTTATATTTATTTAATATATAAACATATTTTTCTTAAATATATACATGCACGTGTGTGTGTATTTATAAATACATAATAAATATACACAGTACACACACATATACTATCTAAACAAAAGCTTTTATTTTGGATGTGATTATTTTGGATGCGATTAATCATTTGACAGCACTAATATAAAAGCTCACACATGCATGTATGTATATATTTAAGAAAAATGTTATATTGGTATATTAAATATATATAATATAAATTCTATAAATATATACATTTAAATATTTTCAAAATATACACCTTGTGTGTATTTATACATAATAAATATACACAGTACACACACATATTACATAAACAAAAACTTGGATGCGATTAATCGTTTGACAGCACTATATACTATTATAGGTTTTGTTAATATTTTAAATTTGATTTTATATTTTCACTTTAATTTTAGTTCGTTTTAGTCATTTAAAAATATCTTTACTACTTTTTAAAATGTCTATATAGTTTTTAGAATGTTTTCATTATTTTAACTATTAATATAATTTGTGTGTTATACGTGTTATTTTAGCATTAATGTACTGTTATATATTTTCAGTTTTCACTTTTAGTTCAAGTTTAGCTATTTTGTCGTGTGTTTTTGGTTTTTTAAACATGTTTATATAGTTTTTATTATTCACAATACGGAAGAAAATATCTGTCGCTACTTCTTCTTACTTCTTCTCGCTACTTGCTATTAATCACAATTAGGGTAAATTTCCGGAAACTTTCCAAATATCCCTGGAATATTCCAAAAAATCCTGGAAAATTTACTGGAAATTTTCCACCTTTTTGCAACCCTAATCACAATACGGAAGAAAATATCTGTTGCTACTTCCATTTCATCATATTATTTTCTGTGGTAATGTAGCTAATAATACAGCTCATTCCTACTGAACTGCTTATAAATATAAATATGCAGTATAAATATAAAAAATAATATATATATTAAATTACCTGCCCAATCAGCAGTCACATAATCATCTGGTTTCAGCACCAGCTTGCGTGAATTCTCCATAGACTTGTCCATCTTAAGAACAGCTGTTTCACAACAAATAAACAAACAAATAATAAAAATCAAATGAAGGAAGACTAATAACGGCTGCCATACGCAGATGAACGCACCATTAATGACGAGCGTTCGGCCCATCGGCACGGCGACCGCTGACACCAGGCTGTTCTCCAGAAGTGGGTGGGCATAGTGAAGTCTGTACACGCACCCTGCCGCCCGCCAGCCAATCGGCATCTCTCCTGAGTTCACATTACAACCCTGAGAGAGAGAACAACCAATGATATTGGAGTTATGTTCAAAAGCGTGTCATCGTTTGGATATTCAGATTAGGGATGTGAATGATCGATTAATTGTTGATTTATCTTTTTTGATGTTCTATTAATAACATTAATTAATTGATAACCTATAATATAAACCTATAATAGTGTGTTGATACTAATATGACACTGAATCAAATCAAAATTAAACAATTTATTTCAAATCAAAATTTAACAATTTCTTTTATTTAGCATATGTGACCCTGGAGCACAAAAGCAGTGTTAAGTCGCTGGGGTATATTTGTAGCAATAGCCAACAATACATTGTATGGGTCAAAATTATAGATTTTTCTTTTATGCCAAAAATCATTAGGATATTAAGTAAAGATCATGTTCCTTGAAGATATTTTGTAAATTTCCTACCATAAATATATCAAAACTTAATTTTTGATTAGTAATATGCATTGCTAAGAATATATATATATATATATATATATATAAGTATTAATGTCAGCATGTAAGGCACAATATTTCTTTTACAGTTTTTTTAATTAAGAATATATTTCTGTAAAATTCATATAAGAATCAAAAAGAAGGCCTTATCAACTAAATTCTTAAAACTTTAACAAATAAATTAATTGTACGAATGTTAACAATAGCAATGGACAAATTTTTCTTGGAAAAAATGAAGATTCTGTATTTTCTATATACACTATAGTCTCAGCCTCAGACGTCACGCCCACGGACCGTTGGCTAAACGTCTGATGCATACGGCACACAAAAGTGGAAACACTTCAGGATTTTCTAAGTCGTCATCGGATTGGTTGAATTATTTAGGATTTCCGGGAGACGTGTGTGTCGCGTTCTATAACATTCCGCCTGGAAACAAAGATGTCGTGACCCCAAACCCTCTCACGATAGAAGAAAGCCGTCGTGTTTACAACTGTGACGACGAGCGCTTATCAAGATCAACTAAACGCTGGATTCTCAAAAGTATGTGAAATATTTAAAGTTCGCGGCATAGAATCTTTCAAATACGTCCGACCGGGAGACGTGCGTGTCGCGTTCTTTAACGTTCCGCCTGGAAATAAAGATGCCGTGATGCCAAACCCCTCACCAAAGAAGAAAGCCGTCGTGTTTACAACTGTGACGACAAGCGCTTATCAAGATCAACTAAACGCTGGATTCTCAAAAGTATGTGAAATATTTAAAGTTCGCGGCATAGAATCTTTCAAATACGTCCGAGAGTTTTACACACCGGTCCGTTATTGTGGCGACATTTCCACGCACCGAAGCGTGACGCTGAAACGAAACTAACTGTGATTGGTTGTTTGACATGTCGGTCAAAAGGCCTCATGGGCGGGCCTTGGCCAATGAAAGCTGCCATGAATTCCAGACCTTCAGCCGTAAGTCTGAAGGTCTGGCTACGCGAGACTACTTGACCGGTTACTTCCTTCAGCCGTCAGTCTGAAGGTCTGGCTACGCGAGACTATATACACTATAACACTGATAATACCAAACATTGCATGCTCTTCTATACATTTATAAATGGGTGAAACTACAGTTACAGATGTTTACCAGGTTATATATTTCTGTAAAATTCATATTTACATTGCAGTCAAAAATTTGTTAAGAATTTTAAATATCTATATGCATTTACGTTAATGATTCATCAATTATTTGGTTGTTAATTTGAATGAAAATCTCGATTATGATTATGAAAATCTCTAAAAATGCACATCCCTAATTCAGATTTGTTTGATTCTGTTGATTACTCTCATTCACTCTAACTGAATCTGCTGGGGTTCAGAGAGCGTGTGAGGGGTCAGCAGAGGTCATGACCTGCGGCAGGAAGCCGGTCTCCAGCAGCAGCAGATGCACCGTCAGCATCAGACAGTCAGTCGGGTTTCTGCAGCTCGACGAGTTCAGCAGTCGCTCCAGCGCGTGAGGAATCACTCCATCCTCCGTCTCACAGCACAGCAGCGGCGGAGACACACCCGCCTCATCCTCCATCCACTCCTCCATCCCAGAATCCCTCACACTGCTGCTGTCCGATCCACCGCCACCGCTGGCTTCAGCCTGAGACACACACACAGACACAGGCTGCTTTGAGGACTCAAACACACACACACACACACACACACTCTCTCTCTCTCACACACAGGCTGCTTTGAGGACACACACACACACAGGCTGCTTTGAGGACTCACACACATACATACACACACAGACAAAGTCTGCTTTGAGGACTCACACACACAGGCTGCTTTGAGGACTCTCTCTCACACACACACACTCTCTCTCTCTCTCTCTCTCACACACACACACACACACACAGGCTGCTTTGAGGACTCACACACGCACAGACAAAGGCTGCTTTGAGGACACACACACACACAGGCTGCTTTGAGGACTCACACACATACACACACACACAGACAAAGTCTGCTTTGAGGACTCTCTCTCACACACACACACACACACACACACACACACACACACACACACAGACACAAACATGCTGACTCACGGCATCAGGTTCTTTGTCATTTCAGTTTCTTTTCTTTGGTTCTTGTTGTTTATAAAATAATGCTAGCAGTACAGTTTTAGGGTTGTATGAAATCTGTTTTGTTTTTTCCCCAAATTCTGTGATTACTTATTACATTTTTTTATTACATTTAAATGATCAAAAATTATGCATTCAATTGAATTCATAAAACTTTACCAATTTATTAATATATTAATATTATACATTTTAACAATAACAGTGAAATATAAAATTCATTTTTTAGTAATTTAATACACATTTATTATCAAAAAGTACGTATAATTAATTAAACTAATAAAACAATTGAATAATTTATTAAACTATAAACAATAATAGTGCCCTATTAAATATGTTTTCAGAAATTAAGTTTTGTCTGCTTATATTTATATGGATTCTGTGTTTTATGATTTACAAAAACAACGGTAATCAAATAAATGATAAAACTTTAACAATTTAATAATTAATAATAATTTTAACAATAATAGTGCCCTATGAATCTTATTTATTTATTTGTGAGAAATTCTGTGTTGTCTGTTTTAATTTTTCTGGATTCTGTGTTTTATGATTTATAATACAATTGCATCAAATCAGGGTTATTATAGTTAACTAAAACTAAACCCATTTAAAATGCTTAGAATGCTTTAAATAAAATAAACATTAACTGAAATAAAAATAAAACCTTAAACTTCTTTTAATTTAGCTAGTTTCATTTGATGTACTAAAATAACTTTAACTGAAACTAAAATTAACAAACTTAATTTGAACACGTTTAAAAAAAACAAAGAGGAAAATAATAAAAACTAATTCAAAATAGGATCTCGATACTAAAATAACACCGAATCAAATGAAAACTGAGCAATTCCTTTTATTTTGTGTATATTAAGCATTAACGTCCTAGTGTGAGGAATAACATTTCATTTCTTTGTATGTCACTACACACAGCGGAATGACAATAAAGCTTATTTGACTTGATTTTTTGGCAAAAAAAGTGCTGCACAATAGTGGTCTACTGTTTAAATTAACACATGAATTAAAAATTGCTTCGTGAGGTATGTTTCTGTGTCTGAGCTCACCTCCTCACTGGATGCGGCTGCGCCTCCTGCTCCGCTCGGGGGTTCTGGGGCAGTTTGTATTTGCTCAGGCAAAATCACAGTGATCATATCACCAGAAACAACCCCACACGAGGAGAGCGTCTGTCCCGTGTCCAACAGAACCTCCTTTCCGTTCAGAGACAGACTGAACTCCACATCAGCCCTGTGCAGAGAGAGACAGACACATGAGAGCTGCTTCAGATGGACGGAAGTGAAAGTGTGAGCAACATGACTGTACAGATCGAATCAAACCCAAATCGAAAATCCAGCTAATAATACCAGATATTACGTTAACCAGCATTACTCACATCATGCATTTAAAACCAGTGTGGGGGGAGTTACTTTAAAAGTAATGCATTACAATATTCCGTTAAAAGTAACAAATTAAGTTACTAAAGTAATGCGTTACGTTACTTTTGAGTTACTTTTTAAATCTGGGCAGACCTTGCTTGTTTGTTTTTAATATAAAAAGTTGTTCTTTTACAAATGCAAAAGCCCTTTCACCCCAAAAGTGAAAGGGGTGAAGGAAATGTAAATTCACGTCTGTACAATAGAGGGCGCCGCTCAAACAAATCTCACGAAGAATATGACACAGGAGAAGAAAGTTCAATAGTGTTCAACAAAAAATAAAACACAAATGTATCATTTTTGCTCATAACCAGTGTTGGGGGTAACGCATTACAAGTAACATGAGTTACGTAATCAGATTACTTTTTTCAAGTAACTAGTAAAGTAACGCATTACTTTTTAATTTACAAGAGAATATCTGAGTTACTTTTTCAAATAAGTAACGCAAGTTACTTTTTTTCCCCAATTTATTGATTGACAGCTCTCCTGTCGCCATGTTGAGAGAAATCAGAAGATGTTACTGTAGTTCTAAAATAAATATGAATATGCATTCATTCATCTCACTCACAAAAAACACAGATTCAGTATTCCTCAAAATGAATAAAAATAATGCAACTCAGAATATGACGCAAACTTTGTTTTTTTTTTTAGTGTGTTGAAATTTCTTCTTCTGCATTCTACTGTACGGATGTACATTTACTTTCCCTTCAGCCTGAGGCTTATTCACTTTTGGTGTGAAAAGGCTTTTATATTTGCCAAAAATATAACTTTTTTATTTTAAAAACAAACAAGCAAGCCCTGTCCAGATTTAAAAAGTAACGCAAAAGTAATGTAACGCATTACTTTCCATAAAAAGTAACTGACTAACGTAATTAGTTACTTTTTTATGGAGTAATGCAATATTGTAATGCATTACTTTTAAAAGCAACTTTCCCCAACACTGCTCATTAGTATGGTTGAAGTGGATCATCGAATGTCAGTAGCAAAGACACTGGTTAATAAAATGGGATTAAACAAATTATATTTGTCTTATTTAACATATTTAATTATTGCAGGTTTGTATAATATCTTGAGAGTTCGCATTTGATGGTTTTTATTCATTTTGAGGAATACTGAATCTGTTTTTGTGCATGTGAAATCAATGCATGTTGACTAGTCTAGAACTACAGTAACATCATGTTCACACAATGTCTCACGATTTCTGTCACCATGGCAACAGCAGAGCTGTCACTCAACACATGGGAAACAAAGTAACTGGCGTTACTTATTTGAAAAAGTAACTCGGATAGTTCCTTCTACATTAAAAAGTAATGCGTTACTTTACTAGTTACTTGAAAAAGTAATCTGATTACGTAACTTTCGTTACAACACTGTTCAAAACACAACATGGGCTGTAAATCATCAGAACACAACTAATGTTAATCCATACCTGATTAGAAACCCCAAACCTAACACACACAACCAAGAGGAGCATCTCAAACTCACCCCAGTCCGCACCGAGGCAGCAGGGCGTCTCTGACCCGGGCTCTGAGCTCGGACAGCGTCGGTTCTGGTCCGTCCAGCTCCAGTCTGCTGCTCTGTTTGTGGATTCTCACCCTGAGCTTCATTCTGCACTGAAGCAAAGCAGATCTGCTCACTTTCACTTCACTGTCGGAGCATCATGTGACGTCACTGAAACTCAGCAAACATCTTCTCTAATAATTAACCTTTACTTAACAGCCGAGCTATAACGCAGTATTTCAGCGTCAGTTACTGCATTTAATCCAGTGTTACTAGGCCACTGCAAATTAAACAGGAAAAGCCTCTGCTGAATGTGTTTACATTTAATCAAAACAGGAACAAAAATAAACGTACCTTTCACACACGTCAAAGTAGCGCAGTGAAGCCAGAAAACTCCGCGGCCGAACAAAACAGCTGAGCGAGCTTTTCAAAATAAAAGTCCCGCAATTACGTCATTAAGTTTATTATTATTATTATTATTATTATGAATGCTTTATTAATTCAATGCCACAAGAACAAGAGGTATTATATATTCATATGATCAAATTAACATTAGCTGGCAGAGAAAAAAAGAGAAAAAAATATGCTTTCGGAGCGTTAAGTGTTTTCAGTACTTTTTTGTTTTTTAAGAGATTTACATATAAAGTCATTTATAAAATGTGAAAAATGTAGTCTACATTGAGCCCCCTTCTTCTTATGCATATGGTATTTTCCTAATAAAATAAACAAATGTATAATACGTTGTTCTTTACTGTATAAAAAAAAGCACATCAAATATAGACATTTCTATCATACACTCAATTTTTCTATTAATATAGAACTCCAAATCCTTCCAGACATGAAGTTTTATTGCCTATTAGTTGTTAAATTAAATAATACATATGCATTGTGTTTTAGGAATTGCTAATATATGAAGCAACTAAACGATTATCGGAAGACTGCCGGTAAAATGCAATTTATTTACAGAGCAATTGTATAAAATTATATAGGTGCCTAATTGAAAGTGTATATTTTCGTCAGTTTAAATAATAATAACTTTTATTGTATTATTAGACTCGTTATTTTATATGCATCTTTATATTTACAACTCTTGGATATATTTCTGTTAATTTCTCTATTTACTATATTAATTGCAATAACCTAGTGGAGCGTTAAAATAATCTCGCCAGTCCAATAACAATAAAACTCTTGTAATTTTATTACAGTGCTGCAATATGCTGTATATGCAATGCCACAACAGGGCAGCGAAAAGGCTAATGCATTTTGTTACTGAGTTTTTGTACAACACTTAGACACGTTTTATTACCAGTTAATAAAATAGCCCTCTCTGACTACGTGTTCACTGTCGCATATATAAACATGAAGAAACCCAAATATCCAATCACTACATTACATTACTATATTAGTTGTACAGTACTTTATTGCGGGGTCTCTGTGCTGGTTATTAACGTTGGCTGTTTTATTCAGCTGTAATGTGTTCGTACATCAGATTATTGTGGTTGTAATATTAAATGTAGTTTAAACTGAATGAAATGCTGAATAATGCTTTGGTCTTCAGGTGGAGGGTATTTTCTATGTGAATGATCCTCCGGAGAAACTCATGTTTGAGGAGCTGACAATGAAGTTACAGCACATTTGTGATTTGATTTTTGTTAAATAATCTATACAAACACTTTGGCAGCAACTATATAGTTAAATTAAAACATAAGGTTGGTTTGGTTCATGGCTTAGAAATGATTGGGAAATGCTTAAAGATGTTTAGAAAATAAAATAAAAGGGCATATTTTAAATTAATTTAGCAGAGGCAGTTCTTTGGGCTTTATGATTTTTTTAAAGACTTTATAGATTCTAAGTCAGCTTTAAAGGCTGTTTGAAAATGAGCAAAATTGGGTTTAAGTTACTCCATTTAGTTTGATGAGTATACAAATTTCCTAAAAACAAAAACAGATCAATAATAAATATTTTTCTTTCAGAAAAGCCATATTCATTTGAACAAAGTAAAACAAATGATGAATTTAAGACTAGGATGCAGTTCATTTTTACAAATGAAACCAAAGAAGTGTCCTTTAAAATTGCTCAGAAACATTAGAGCGTTTTCATCTGGATATAGATTACAAATGCATTTTCTGTAATTGTAAAAAAGTCTATTGTGCATTTATTTTTTGAATGTTAAGTTTAGGTTTAGCTAAAATTACAACTGGGAAATAAATAAAAACTGCGATAAAATTAAACGAAACCTAAACAGTAATATTTAAAATAAATGACTTGCTATTAATTTTTTTTAAAGATTAATATTTAATTATTATATGATTAACATATTTACCAGTGCAGCCTATATTTAATTTTTTAATAAACTCATCACATTGAGCTGATTGAAATGGTAACCGTTTAAATTACATATAAAATGTGAGACAATGTTAGTGAAAAATACCACTTATAAAACGGATAGCTCCGGTGCTTGATTCTGATTGGCTGAGCTGTGTTCGAAGCTGTTGTAAATGACTCTACAAAGTAACATACACCTTTGTTTACGTTTGTGTGTTGCTCGGCAACCTTTGTTGCAACCACAACTGTTTCTGAGGCGCTACATTGTTTGGTGGAAGAATACTGTTTTTATTAATATCATTACACTTTATTTCCTCTGTTTTATTTTGTGAAACCTTGCTACGTGTATGGAATAACTGTTTTATAAAAGCAATAAGCCCCGTGAAACCATCCAAACCAATTTCAACATCCACATCAACCATAAATCCTTCAAAAATAGATAAATTCACTGTAAACCACGGCTTCACGAGGCTTATTGCTTTATTTCACAGGGTTTGGTGGTTTCTTGCCTGCTATGAAGCAGATTGGTTTTGCTATCGGAAACATGGCTGCGTTTGACATGGACGACACCGAGGCCGTGGTGTCACCCGGTGCGTAATCGAGCCGCGTTCAGATTCACGTTAACGATGGGGCAGCTCACGGTTCGTCTCGTCTGCAGGTGGCGTGGGGTTTGACATTAACTGTGGCGTCCGTCTGCTGAGGACTAACCTGGACGAGGGCGACGTGCAGCCGGTGAAAAAGCAGCTGGCGCAGTCCATGTTTGACCACATTCCCGTCGGAGTCGGATCCAAGGGTGTCATTCCCATGGGAGCAAAGTAAACAATACCACACAACCATTCCATTTACATTTGTGACCCTGGAGCACAAAACCAGTCATAAGGGTCAATTTTTCGAAATTGAGATTTATGCATCATCTGAAAGCTGAATAAATAAGCTTTCCATTGATGTATGGTTTGTTAGGATAGAACAATATTTGGCTGAGATGCACCTATTTGGAAATCTGGAATCTGAGGGTGCAAAAAAATCTAAATATTGAGAAAATCATCTTTAAAGTTGTTCAAATTAAGTTCTTAGCAATGCATATTACTAATCAAAAATTAAGTGTTGATATATTTACAGAAGGAAATTTACAAAATATCTTCATGGAACATGATCTTTACTTAATATCCTAATGATTTTTGGCATAAAAGAAAAATGTATAATTTTGACCCATACAATGTATTGTTGGCTATTGCTACAAATATACCCCAGCGACTTGACTTACTGCTTTTGTGCTCCAGGGACACATTTAGTCATTTAGCAGATGCTTTTATTCAGAGTGACTTATAAATGAGGACAATGGAAGCAATCAAAACTAACAAAAGAGCAATGATATGCAAGTGCTATAACAAGTCTCGGTTAGCTAAACGCAGTACACCTAGCAAGGGCAAGCTAGTGTCAGAGGCCTTTTTGGCTTTTTGTTAATTGTATAATAAATAAAAAGAAAATAAATACATAGAATACAAAAAGAATAGCACTTCTTCATTTTGCAGTCTTTTTCAACCTCAATTTATGTTTTTGCTCTGAACTTACTTGGCAACAGTGATTAATTGTTTATTGTGAAAAAAATAAAATGCTTAACTTAACCGTTATATGCACTAATATAACTGAACATCATAAATACCAATGGAGCCTATATTTATTACTAAAAGATTGTAATGCATGAAATATGTTTTGTGAATATTTGAATAATGATGCAACTAAAATTACTAACTGGAAAAAACTAAAACTGAAATAAAATTAAATGAAACCTGAAAGGTACTCTAAAGAAAAAAAAAAAAAGCACAAAACTAGTGCTGTCAAACAATTAATCGCATCCAAAATAAGTTTTTGTTTACATAATATATGTATGTGTACTGTGCATATTTATTATGTATTTATATAAATACACACATACAGTGTATATTTTGGAAATATTTACATGCATATACATTTATATAAATATAGTTATTATATAAACATAAGTTTTCTTAAATATATACATGCATGTGTTTGTATTTATATATACATAAATATACACAGAACACACACATATTATGTAAACAACTTTTATTTTGGATGCAATTAATCGTTTGACAGCACTACATTAAATTAATGTTAATTAAAACAATTAAATAAACTGAATATATAAGAAAGCCAATTCAAAATATGAATACACTATAATAGTAAATAAATAATACTTGTTGCCTTGGCAATAAACTGAAATAAGTTCAGTAAGTTAAAGCACTAGAACAGAAATAAAAATAAATTAAACCTTAATAGTAATAAAAATAATAAAATGGCAAAAGCACATACAATTAATTACATTAATTTCAAATTAGAACTTGATTCAAATGAAAACTGAAAATACAAAAATAAAAGCTAATTCAAATTAATACAGTATAAATAATAGTGAAATTAAGTTGAAGCACTAAAATTATTTAACTGGAAAATAGCAAACTGAAAATATTAAATTGTAATCAGTGTTAATTTTGACAGGCATTTTTGATTTAGTCTTTATCTCGAGACGAAAATGCTTAATAGTCTTAGTCACATTTTAGTCTTTCATAGTTTTAGTTGACGAAAAGTCATTGCATTTTTGTCAACTTTTAGTCAAACTGCAGTTACCAACATTTATTTTGTTAGCTACTTTATATGTAGTCTTCAAACAAAAATACAATTAAACTGTGTACAAAAGGCAGTTTTACATGTCCTGAGTCTGAGAGGGTACTAATTATATACAATTATAGTTTTATTCATATTATGAATTAGCTTTTGTTCTTTTATCGTCATTAATTTTATGCACTTTGTGTTTGTGTTTTCACGAGCGCTGTGTTTGTGTGTGCAGAGATCTGAGCTCTGGAGATGGGTATGGACTGGTCTCTGAGGGAA